GGCCTGAAAGTCAATTCTTTATTAAAGATTTTCTTCTGTTCAAAAAATATAACTGTTGATACGTCATAATGAAATTAAGACACAGGTAAAATTAAAGCACTGTTCACACTTAGCTTCTATTGAATTCTCTTATTTTTATTCGGCCAAAAGTTGAGGTTGTTTTATTTTTTTACTTTCTAAAATGTTCCTGTGATAGTGGCATTTTCTGATGTGTAACTTTGGCGGTTTGCAAAAAATAACCCTTGCAGAGTTATTGCTTGTGGGGAATGAGTCTTCCTAATGGCTGAGTAGCATAGCAGCCGCTGTCCCCAGCCTCGTGGTGGTTATATAGTGGCTGAGCGAAGATGACTTTGAAGGCTGTCTCCCAGTTTTCTCATGTGATGCTCTTAAAAATATATATAAATAATAGAATGAAGTATTTTCTATAAAATTTCTGATACCTAATTAATGTCTTCAAGAGTAATGCTGGTATCAAACATTTGCTCTAATTATATTCATTAGTGACTTCTCCTGGACACGTTTTAATTAAGTTGTACAATGTAGATCAATACTCATTGTGAATTCATTGCAATTTATAACAAGCATATATGCTGTTCAGAACAACTTAATTACTATAATTGTAGCACAGAAGACACTTGGTAACTCTGCTTTATTATGGCCAATCCCAACTCTTAAAACATCTAGTAATGAAACTGGAAAATGAACCTCTGAAAATTCACATATATCTTGTCGCCTAAACTTCTGTGCTTTTCATGTAACTAAATTTTCTCATTGTGCATCTCCATTATACAGCCAGCAGGTAAAATGAGCACCTGTAACAATTTTATTGGTTATATGGAAATGATTCAGGGGCGTTGTATTGCCAGATGATCTATTTGCATTTCCTTAATTAAAATTAATTTTTTATACTTTTCTTTGCTTATATAAGTAATATTATTTTGGTTGGAAGGAATGGCTTATCTCCTTAGCATGCTAATTATGTTAATGAAGTTCATGCTAGTGGTGTAGTACACAAAAGATTGAGAGAGTGGAGATTTTCTTGTAATATTATTAGGTTAAAAAAAATAAAAAAAGGTGGCTTCCCAACTATATGACCAGTAAAATTTGGAATTTTCCCTGACTTTTTCTTGTTAAAGATCAGTGACAAACACCTTCCCAATCCTCCAGCTATTGCGATTAAAATGTCTGCATACATAATCAGATCTGCATGGTGTTTGCTGCTTTGGACACACCCTCCTCATTTGCCCCCCAGCGAAATGGTGTTTTCACAAGCCTAGCAGTCAGGAGTTAAACATGGTGTTTTCGAAGGAAACAATTTGATTTTCTCTATTCAAGTTTCTGGAGACAGGAATTAGTAGTTAATGAAATATTCAGGAATGATATCAAACAGGTTTAAAGCAGAAAGGATCAGAAATATGTTCCTTAAGAAGACAGATTCTGAGCAGCTGGTAAAGCTGGCACTCTACAAGGGCTGAGAGCGGTTCAGAAAGCACCCGCGGCTGTTCAAAGCATGGTACGAAAAGAAAGATGCAGAATTTTTTTCAACTTTTACAAAAAAATTTATTTTTCATGCTACAGTCCCATAGGCTCAGGGACTTCTCCCACCCCCCTCATTTCTCCTTCCCCTTCGGCCCATTTGCTCTCATATCGTATTACAACAGTCACAAGTTCATCTTTCTGTTACTTAAGTGTATCCTGACATTGTATAGTAGACAGTAGCACAAAGTCCAGCCTCCTATTGTAAAAACATATTTAACAGCTTCATCAGGAGTCCCTCTTTTATCCAGGAATAGAGATGCATACTGCAAAGATACAGATTTTAAGATTTATATGTGAATTTGTATGTGAATTTTCTCTGATGCATTAATCCTGCCATATATATATATATATGAGATCAACATTATAATAAGCTAAAAGTAATTGTGTAAAATGTCTAATTTCCATGTTTTTCTCAGTTCCCATTTAAGCAATGTTGTGTATAAATATTTTTGCATGTGGATTTTATGGAATTATTTGTTTCCATAGGAAAGTCATGTTAGACAGTTATATTCCTGAGTTCCTGTGAGACAGCCTTTTGAAAACAATCACAACAAGGAAGGTTGTGCAGATTTCTGTTGTGACTATTTTCCTGTATTTTGTAGTATCTTCCACTCTCCCAAACACCCAATGCATGTGTTAGCTGCAAGGCTATTATTTTGAGCTCATTTGTTTTCTTCCATACATACAAACGTTTTAAGATGAAAGAAAGATAAAAATTGCAATTTTAAAGCAAACTCAGGTGTGTGCAATTAGATATTGAAAGGGTATTGGGAATTCTGTGGGTGAAAAATGAATATTTCGGATTCACATATTCTGAAGAGGTCTAAAAGGAATGCTGTGTTTCTCCTGGCTGGCTGGTTATGAATTCCTGGAATTCTGTTGCACATCAGGTTACCACCCCAGGATTAAGTTCATTGTCACTGTCTTCGGAGCTCACACTCAGCTCTGCTGGGGTGCTCTGCTTTTCCTGGGCTCTGCTGTTGCGCTGCTGCTGCTCAGTATCAAAGGTTAATCAAATGAATCATTAAGATGAATAAACATAACAATTTAGATTCCATGTTCCCCTGGTATTTAGTCATGTCTAGACACAGCCCCAGTGTCCCAGAAAAACTAAAATGAGGACAAGGACATTTATGTTTAATGCAGCCTTATTCCCATGGAAACCAGGAAAGCCAACAATAGAGTAAGAAGGGGTGTATGTATCTGGGAGCTCAGGGATGTGACTGGCGGGATTGTCAAGGTCAGTAGGTAGTCAGACAGCTCTAGATTGATTTCGTTTTGTTATTTTAGAAAGAAGTAGGCTATCAGTTCTCTAAAAAAGTTGTAATTCTATGTATTTAATTTTCTTATTCCTTAAAGCCGCAATGATGTGAATGGTTTAAAGATTTATTTATGTAAATAAATCTTGATGGTTGAGAGACAGAGGCAGGTAGAGACAGCTCCCGTCAGCTCTCATTGATTCTCTGAATCTTTGTAATGGGCAGAATGGCCAGGTCTGGGCTGAACTATAAAACTTGGACCTAGGAGAGCAATAGTAGTTCCCCACGAGGATGCCAAGAACCAGTTCTTGAGCTGTCACCACCACTTTCCAGGGTTAGCAGGACGCTGGAAGCAGGAGTTAGAGCAAGAAACACCCTGGACACTGCGCTGTGGGAGACAGGTGTTCTAACCCCCGGCCAACTGTCTGTCCGCCAGCCTATTTCAATGCTGGTAATATGGCTGTAGACATCACACTTTTAAGTGTTTAATAGATAAATAAGGGTGCTTCAAATACTTTGTGGCAAAAAAAAGAAATTTAAGGAGATTTTATACAAAAAAATTTATTTGCAGTGGTATTAGAGAGCACATTTTCGGCTGTACCCAGGGCTTGTTTTGCTTGCAGATAGAATGATCCATTTGGAATTGGGTCTGACAATGTAAGGATGCTTTGCTAACTCAGACTAACAGTCACCCAGGTGTTTGTCCTCTTAAGTGCATTTGCCTTGTTCATCAGACTGTCCAAGTGACCCAGCTGTTCAGAGAGCCAGGCACATTCATGTGGGGTAACATAATCCTTTAGAAAAATAAGGATATGTGATCTAAGTATGAGACATTTTGCAAGATAGTTGTCTTCAAGCTAATTTTTTTAAAAAGAAGATTTATTTATCTGAAAGGCAGAGTGATGGGGAGGGGTGAAAGAAAGAGAGGAGAGGGAAAGAAGGTATTTCCCATCTGCCAGTTAATTCCCCACATGGCCACAGCAGCTGCAGCTGGGCCAGGAGCCAGCAGCCAGCAGCCAGAAGCAAGGAACCAACAACCAGGAGCCAGCAGCCAGGAGCAAGGAGCAAGGAACCAACAGCTAGGAGCCAGGAGCAAGGAGCCAGCAGCCAGCAGCCAGGAGTTCCATTCAGATCTCCCACATGGGTGACAGGGGCCCAAACTTTGGCCATCTTCTGTTGTTGTCCTGAGTGCACTAGCAGGCAGTGGGATCTGAAACAGCAGCCAGGATTCAAACTGGTGCTCCAGAATGGAAACAAGGAAATACTGGTGTCACAAGTGGTAGCCTACTAGCTCTGCCTCAATTCCAGCCTTTCTTCAATCCACTTAAATATTTTTTCAGAAACTACACACACAAGCATATACACACATACACACATATATTGTATGTATATGAGTGTGTGTGCGTAAGAGCGACCCATGCACTGTTTGTGCATACATGTCTGTACACACTGATCCATGTCTTGTGTTTTTATTGAAAATGTTCTTTTCCAACTGGAGGTTCCATCCTGGACTTTTCAAGCATCATGAATCTGATAGTTCTATAGAAAACATCTTTCAGACTCTTAGTCTAAGTTTGGCAATGTAGTGGGCTCTTAGCCATAGCATCAACTTTAAGGATTGCTGTAATTTCCTTGTCTTGGTTAAGGGTGTAGAGATTTATTTCTTAATTAAACTTGCAATTTGGGTTACAAATTTGAGTTAATATCACACAAGTTACAAGCTTAGGAATAGTTTATTGCTGATTAATGTAAATTATTTGTTAACTGCATCATAATAGCTTTCTGGAAGAAAATAAAATATGTTCCAGTACAGCTTGATGACTACAGATTAAGCCCTAAACCTCTAATGCCTTTGCAAAGAAGCAACCTGGTGGGACCTTCATTTTGATGGGCCTTTCTTTCGTTTTTTTCTTGTTCTTGGTTATTAGTTCCATTTCCTTATTCTTGCTTTTTGGGAAAGCATTGAACTCAATGACTGGTGTATACATTTCTGCTCTAATTGTTCTCCAAATGTTTTTGAAAATCGCATGTTCACTTGCTTTCCAAAAATGTTTTCTAAAAATTACAGCTCTTGTATCCATCATAGTGAAAGCCTAAGGAAATTTCAGTCATGTAAAAAAAAATGTATATTTTTAGTAACACTATTAAAGCAGGATTGCGTTATTATAGATTTTGCTGAGTTCTGCTCTTTTTCTCTTTCAGTGAACCTGTTGGATTCACGCACTGTCATGGGGGACCTGGGATGGATTGCTTTCCCAAAAAATGGCGTAAGTTTTTATGGAATCTTTTCTAAAACCTGAGATACATGTGTTGTGACAATTCTGTGTGAGTTTGTGCACTCACCTCTTTGTTGTTCAGAGAGGAGAAGTATGTCTGTGCGAGAAGGGACGTGTGTCAGCTGTTGTAGCGTCACAGGGACTTCAGCTGTGAAAAGTGGATGCGACGGAAGTGTTTTCAATGACTGCCTTCCAAGCATGTTGTTTTCTCCTGAGTATTTTTCCGCAAAGTGATAGGAAGTTTTCTTTAGCCTTCAGGAAAATTCCAGATCCAGTCTTGGAACACACTTTCATAAATAACTGATTTGCTATATTAATATTGCATTTTGAAGAAGGTGAATCAATATTGATTGAAGACTAAGGTTCGTTAATCTAGTTTATTTAATTTACAGAATTAAAGAATGCAGCTATTTTAGGAAAATTCTTTAAATTCTCTTGATAAGAATTTCTGCAGTTTGAATTTGTTCAACATTCAGATTTTCAGTTTTAGTTTTTTAAGCTCAGAAAATATGCTTCAGTCATAGAATTGTATAATTAGCAATTATTTTAAAACAAAGTGTTTTATGAGATTACATTAAAAACGAAAGTAACTCATGTTAAAACCAGGTAGGCAATTTTTAACAATATATATTTTTAATTGTCATAATATTAACAGTTCTACCTATCGGCTACATTAAAGAGTACTCCATTAGCCTCAATCACACTTAAAACCATATAAATTCAATCAGATGGAAAGTGAAAATATAAGTAAAATTTTTAGATCTAGATCCATATTAAACTGAAATTATCAAATGTGTCACATTACTGTTCTATTTAAACATTTCAGACTCAAAGATGATTCTATTATCTAATATCTTTAATATTTCCTGAATTTCAAGGTACAGTTACTGAAATCCACTATGACAACCATACATCAGTTTCAGTGCTACCATTTGGATAAAAAAATATGAATCCCATGAATAGTGCAACAATTTTAATGCATATATGTGATTAATTTAATTTTTCACCCTTATGGTATTTTACATGACATTTAAAATGAGGTTTCACTCAAGATGGAATATTAACTAGCAAATTATTTTTTCCCTTCTGGAAATACAATCTTAGAAATATGGCAATGACACTATTTTTCAAAAATAACTGTTAATTTTCTTTTTAAATTGTCTGTCACTATCTGTAATTCATCTTCAGAGAGAAACAAAAAAACTGTTGAATTAAGTCTTTATCCTCAAGCTTTGAAAAATTTGTTTCAAGTAGCAGTGAATATTAGAATAGTTTGATGTGGTTTTATGATTTGGTATAATAAATTAAAAAACCATACAATACTCCCGTTTGAATTTATGATTTAATAGATGAAATACTTATAAAATAAAGTTATTTATAACTAAAAGAATGTGTTGAATGAATTTAGGAAATTACATATTGTATTCCTTAAATAAATTGTGTTCAGTGTTGTTTGTGTGTTAAATATTCTGCAATTTGTGTAGAATTGAGTAAGATAAGGACCTGTCCTTGACAAAGAATGAGTGATCTTAGTTTGATTGTTTCAATCATTAGAATGTACGAGGTAGAGAAAATGTCAAGAAGTTGACCCTTAATTCTGCAGTTCTGGAAAACTGACGTAGTTTAATAACATGTCACTAAGTCCCTCCCTCCGACTGTAATTCCTGGTTTAAAGTGAGTAATTTTACTCGGGAGTTGGGCTGTTGCCTGACGCTTTGGTTGAAACAGAGTGTATATGTTGAATAAGTAAATGAAATTGATTGTGTTGTTCTTGTGGCAGTTCAGAATTCTTTGTACGAAATATAGAAGCACGTGCTTCACTTTCTTTCCTCTGTGTAGTACGTGTTAGGAGTGGATGTAATTATTTCTGGGACTGTTTGAAAAAGGGCTACTTCAAATCTGAGTGTAAGAATTGGACAGAAATGTAGGGAAAACACTGTTATTTGTCCTCATTGTTTCAGACACAAACATCAAACATGTGTTAGAAACAGTCATTATGCCTGTCCCGCCCTTGCCCTTTCTTCTGTTACAGGGCGAGCTCCTACTCTTGTCGTGGATATTCTGTATTTACTGCCAAAACTTGGCTCCGTTTCTGACTTGTAACAGGACGTCAGCAAACATGTACTGAAAGGAAGCCTGTTCTATGCGTTTACTAACATTCATAAATGAACAGAAGCTTCTGACATATGATTTTTAACTCATTTGTTCTCATGGTAGTTTCTAAAGAAAGAGGCTGAGCCAAAGGCATGCATACAAGAGAGACTGTTTGCTGGCTCACTCCCCAGATGCAGCTTGGTTGGGGCCAGGCGGAAGTCGGCAGCCCAGATCCAGTGTTTGTCACATGTGGGTGGCAGGGCCCCAGGCACGTGATGCCACCTCCAAGGGTGCATCCGAAGCAGCAGATCAGGGACTCCGCTGTGGGATGGGTGTCCCAAGCAGTGACGTCACGGCTGTGCCCAGTGCCTGCTCCCCCGAGCTGCAGGTTTACAATAACTAGTAAATGGGATTTGCAGAAGTGACAGCCCACAATATCCTCCCTTAGCCTTCTGGTGAATTTCTTTCTTGTACAGTCCATAAGACACTTTGTCCATATCCTTGCTTATGCATGAGAGAGAGACAATTGTCATCAGCATGTAAAAATTTAAAAAATTTCAAAGAAAACCTAATTTCCAACTTTAACTGCCTAAAGGATTTCTGTATTTATTTGAAAGTCAGAGTTAAAGAGACATACCGGTGGCGTGGGGTGGAGGCTGCCAGGAGGAGGCGTGGGGTGGAGGCTGCCAGGAGGAGGCGTGGGGTGGAGGCTGCCAGGAGGAGGGAAGGAAGACAGATGTATTCTGCCCCCTCCTTGACTCTCTGGCCAAAGCTGCACACTTCAGCAGGGTCCCTGTCAAGGTGGCAGAGGTCAGGTACTTGTGCCATGTTCTGCCACTTTCTCCAGGCTGTTCGCGGGGTACTGGATTTGGAAGTGGAGCCACTGAGATATAAAGCAGCACCCACGTGAGGTGCTGGTGTTGTGTTACCTGCTGCAGCGCGATGCTGGGTCTAATTCCTGGCTTTTTGTTGACTGTTCCAAAGCTGGTCGCAGATTGCAGTTTTAGGAGATTAAGCAGATTCTCTGGTTTGGCTCCCTTTCTACTGACACCGTTCCCTGATTTAAGCTGCCTGTCTGTGACCTTGGCTCCACTGAGGATCCTTTTTCTCCCACATTGTGTGAGCATCAGCATCTCCTTTTGATTCAGGAAGGATCTTCTCATTTGTTTTTTTAACTTTGCTACATACGGAGATCATTGTCTTCGAATCCTTGTTTGAGTTCTTTACCTTGCTTAGGATGCATCGTTGCGGTCTGGGCTTCAGCCTGTCCATAACCCACTGTGTAAGTGATGGACAGCTTGATTGTCAGCATGCACCTGTGCGTCTTATGGTTTCAGCGTTATGCTGGACATATCAAGAACTATCGTGTCATGGCAAATTCCGTGCATGCTTACTCGGTGCCTCCATTCCAAAGTTGTCTATTCCCTACCTAGCCGGTGCCTGCCATTCACCTTTCTAGGCACCAGGTCTGCTCTCCTGAAGGAAGAAAGCAAGAGTTTCTGACGGTCACCCTTAAGTTTGAAGAAGTGTGATGATTCTGCGAATGAACAACTAAATAAACAACATCGCAGTTTTTTCTAGTCTCGTACTTTCTTTTTGTAGTTGTGAGGAAGTGAAAGAGCAATGATAGTACTTGCTACAATTGTGCAGGCTTGCCGTATGGCTAGAAAACACTGCATGTTTGTGTGAGAGGACACTGCAGTTTCTGGAAGAATGGAATGAAAAGATGCCAGGTTACGTGGGTGGCGGCGCTGGCATTGCGGCGCAGCAGGTTTGAGTACCCGGTGCTCTGCCTCCCAGCTGGCTCTCTGTGCACCTGCACACAAAATGGAGAATGATCCAAGTATGTAGGAGATTGGATAGATTCAGGGCTCCTTTTATTCATGTGGCTTGGCCCTGCCTTGTGGCTCTTGGGGATTGAACCAGCAGATGAAAGTTATGGCTTTCTATTTGTCTTTTTGTCTGACAGATGAAAGTCTCTTACAGAAAAATAAATTGGAAGATAAAATGTATTTCTTCCAAGTTTTTGATGATCATTTATACTGGACACATATATCATCAAACCACTCTTCATTTTCTTGAAAAACACTCATACTAATATACAATGCTTAACAGAGTGCACAAAGGGACCTTTAGTGTTCCTTTGCTTAACATTCATTTGTTTAATTATTTGAAAGGCAGAGTCTAGGAGGAGAGATAGAGAGGAGAGAGAGTGCTGTTTTCCATCTGCAGGCTCCCTGCCCAGATGGCTGTGACAGTGGAAGCTCCAACTCTGGCCTTCTTTTGGGATGACAGCATCGCAGGCCATGCCCTCATCCGGTTGGCCACAGCGTCTGCCCCGTTCTTTTTTTTTTTTTTTTTTCCACGTGAAGAGAAAGAGACTCAGTAAAGGCAGGTGACTGAGAGAAGAAGATGAAGAGGTAGAGTGCCCTGACGCTCATGTGTTTTCTGATACTGATTGTTCAAAATTAGAAATGAACCACACTAAACTGTTAGGTCTGTATGGATGTGTCTGGGTTTTGGAATGTGCTCGATTTTTGCTTTAGAGAAAGCAGGAAACTGGAAGTTTCTCCCAAGAATGCTTTATATAAGCAGGGCTGAGTTACATCGCATTCATGGGTAGCCCATGCAGTTTTTAACGTTTAGTTTTGAAGGTCAGTCTTACACATGCATGCACACACAGACACATATACAAGAGAGAGAGAACCAGAGAGAATGATTTTCCATCTGCTGTTCACTGCCCCGAGGTTCATGTTTCCGCAGGAGGGCCAGACCTAAGCCAGGAGCCAGGAGCTTGTTTCGGTCTCTCCCGTGGCAGCAGGTGTCTAAGCAGTTGTGCTGTCCTCCTCTGCTTTTCCCTGACCACTGGAAGGGAGCTACATTGAAAGTAGACCAAC